TTGTAGGGCTCGGTGTAGGGGTTCTCAAGTACGCCAAACACGATGGTGTACTCGGAGTAGCCCCGCACAGCCGCGTTCTCGAGTGCCGGTGCATACACCCTCGCCTCCTCCTCCCCACCTTCCCAAAAATGTGCCCGCCGCATTTGGACCCGCAGTGCTAATCCCCGCGGTGGAAGTCTGCTTTGGGACCCTGGCTATACGCCTGTGTGGTTGCTGGGCTTCCACCGCTATCCGTTAGCTTGGTATCACCTGTACACCTCCCCCTCTTCTCCTCCCCACTATTCCTACCCATTCCCTGACCCCTCCTTGCTTTAGAAACCCCGCGTTTTGTCATATAAATGTTGATTACTATCCACTATACAATATCCATTACTTCCCCAAGAGTCCTGATACAGTACAGGCTCTAGATCCAGCAAATATATTAGATTTTGAATTTATTTTGATTACAAAATGTATTTGTTTCACACAAGCACCTGTGGCTTCAGCATGCTTCCGCTGTTGTATCTAAGCAGTGAGAGCCTTGAGCTCGGTGACATCGTTGACTACTGCCGTTTCAACCAACCGCTCTTGCGCGCGGACGTATGTCTGAGCTGCCCATCCGTGCGCGCCAAGTGGCCGGAATGAGCCCGTCATGGACTGACGTCCTGAATCGTCTTTGATGAATCTGTGACGGAGGGTATACCAGCCATCTCAACACGATAAAGTACGAGAGAGAAGAATACGCACGAGGTTCGGCCGCGAGCATACGAGCCCCCCTCGTCTTCATCCTTCTGCTGCTTCTCCCCTTGGCGTTCTCGGGCACAGGACACGCGTGACACCAATCCTCCATGCTCTCCTATAGGGGTCCGAAGAACGCCGGGTGTCGATGACTTGTTGCGCGGGCTGTAAGGTGCTAAGAGTACAAAACTCAGTTTTTGCATGGAAATATGGCCGAATTAGAATGAGACACACTGTTCATGCACATATCAGTCTTCCAAATCAACTTCTAAATCCTCACCGCGTGCCAGGTGGATCCGTATGTCATCCGCAACGCCCCACCGCGGTCGTAGCCACTCAGCTCAATGTCGAGGTCAGCGAAAGGCCTGCGACGTTCTTATGAGCATTGACCATCCAGTACTCTCAGTGAACACGTACCTTCAGGCTTTTAGTCGTTCTTATAGTGGCCACCGTAATCCAGGCTGTACCTTGACGCGTTGTTTCCTGGGCAACCTCGCAGCTCGGGGCGCATACCTACGTATCTTGCGCGAGAACGCGTCGCGCAACTTCTTGAGAGCAAGGAGGCGCGCAAGACCTTGAACTCGACCTACGCCCGTGTCAATACACGTTTGGAAAGGTGAAAAAGAAAGAACGTACTGATACTATGCTCGAAGCTCTGGGGGTCGATGTCACCGCAGCGAAGACCCGGTACATGTATCTCAAACCCAGAGCCGCGTACTTTGCGAGGCGTACTGCGTAACCTCCGTGCCGGATCCGCAAGGTTGGCCTAGCAAATGTGTGCAGCTCAGGCGCACGGAGACGTCAATACTTTGTCGGGTGTATACGCGACGGCACAGCAGTCTACGTCGGATCCTGCAAGGACTTCTGCAAGAGACACGTGAAGGCGAAGGACAATCTGTATCAGTCAATAAGGATACTGAGCTACAAGTGATACATATCAGCCTAAGGGTTACAAGTACAGTAGTGTAAGTAGATAGCTCACAATGGATAGACACTGCGTGCGTGCGCCCTGCGGACAGCCGTCACGTGCCAAAGAATCGCGTATGGCTTTGAAGATGTGCTCAATCTTTTTCTCGCCTACACAGTGTTCACCAGCCAGACCATATCTTGCCAAAAGAGGGTGAGATCCTACCTATGCTGTATCCATTTCGTAAAGAAAGCGATTGACGTCGCTGCCAGCATAAGCCTCGCGCTCAAGAAACCTTTTCCTAAGCCCCTTCTTGCTGTCGTCCGCGCCTTCCGGAAGAAGGGCCAGACATACATGTGCAGCACCGCCGGCGACTATGATGTTCGACCAGCCGCGCTGAGATGGTGCGCCTTCGGTGAAGATAGACCAGTTGCGATGAAACTCTGTGAGGCTTGTCGCAAGAGTGAGAGCCCCAGATGCACGTCGTTTGGAGGGCTTCAGCGAGAAGATGTGTTCCTTGTCTCCTTTTCGTCGGTCGTGAATGGGTGTTCAGTACGGCCGGATCGCAGGAGAAGAACGTCGACGAGATCAACATGTGAATCAAATAGACGTCGATACAAGCGATCCTGGGAGAACGGTCGGCGTAGCTTGGCTTCGTATTCGAGAGCGGGGCCAACGGCCGCGTCGAGGTCGCCAGCAGCGAGACGTGCTAAGAACGCAGTAGCTTTGGGATTTTGCGCGCTCTAAGTCATGTTACTGATGATCGCGGTCGGTTCAAGAGGTGCCTGGGCGAGTATGTACGAGTCCGGCTTATATGGGCGATCGAGGAGGCGGGCGGGAGGAGTGCCAACATGCTGTTAATTCGTGGCGGACGGTTTGCACGGGCGAAGCAACGAGTATTCTGCGAGGCGATTAGTCTGAGGAGGCCGCCCTTGTAGCGCATGGCCGTTCGGTAGCACGACAGTCATAAGCGTAGAGCTACACGCCTGCTACCATCATCACACGTAGTTTGCCACCCACGCGTATGTAATGACTTGTGTGGATAATACACACCGGGCATTGGTCTCCGCACGGTCAGAGCAGTCACCGTGCGCGTTATCTTATTCACTCGGTGGTCATCTAGAGTAGCGACATGAGATAGCATGAACTCTACAACTGCACTGCAGCTGTTCTCCAAGTCGATTGTGGCGGTTCATGTTCAGAAGGCGCAGGCAGGACGTCATATCGAAGGCAATCCCGGCAGTTGCCGCGGGTCTCACTCCGAATCTGGCCCCAGTTCCCTTGCTCTCACCAGCTTCTTCGGCCCCCTCTACAATGACGAGGGAGCCCCCCAAGGTCCTCATGCTTTGTGGGCAATATCAGGAGGAGACTATGAGCTCTGCATATCAACTGAGACTTGGGAATATATAGACTACCGGAAACCACGAAAGGTGTCGGTCATCCGCCGACAACCTAAACCTACGGCATGCTTGCCCCTTAGATAAGTTGGCGGCAGCCCGTGTCATATGAGCCAGTTGCACCCGCTGACTGTCTCACCTCTAGGCGCTAAAATATATTGCATACTATACGGCAGAGTGCAGATCACTTTGCGTGCCACGTTACACGCACGACACCAGAGCTCACTATGGAAGGTCGCTTGCTCAGCCGTCACCGAGAGAAGCTATGCTGTGGTCGCTACACCTCCTAGTCAGCTTGTACCTACCGATAACACTCCATCTCCCCCCAGAGATCTTGCACGGACGACCAATCAGCTTCTGCTTCTGCAAAGATACGACGTCTGGCACTTGATAGTAAACGTGCGTCACCGCAGTGGGCAGTCCATACTATCTCATTCTTCTAACAATTAGTCTGACAGGTATTCGTGATGGGAGTGCTACTCGGCGACATTGCATTCGCGAGCGCTTCATTGATACCGGAAGCCGCCTTTCACAGGCTCGATCCAATTTCGAATACATCTCTCCGCTCTTCATCTTGGGTGTTCTCTTCGCCACTTTTGGCACTGCCCTGCGGCTATGGTCCTACCATGCAATGTGCTATAACTTCATCTTCGAAGTCACTCTTCTGAACGACCACGAACTGGTCATGTATGGACCATACGTGTACGTGCGACATCCAGGGCACACCGTGCTCGTCCTCAATGTCGGCGGGTTGTGCGCGTGCCTAGCGCTTGTGTTGAATGAGGCCCCCGCGTCGTTCGCAGCTGTTGTCGAGGGCGACGAGATCACTGCATTCGTTTCGTCGATCAGCTCGTGGCGCTTGTGCTTTCGGCACCTGTCTCTCAGCCGGACCTTGGACCGCCGAAGTGACTGCCATCTTACTCGTCGCACAGTCGATCTTCACCATCGGTCTTGAGCCGCGGACTACTCAGGTGCCGAAGGAGGGCGAGCCTGTGCTAGTGTCTGGCGAATGTTGCCGGGAGATTCACAGAGACCAGATTCGCGACGTGAATCACAGTGAATTCCCCCGTGAATCTGGTTGGGCCGCCAGAGGCCTTGCGAATCTGGTAGGCAAATGTGGGCCCAGGTGACAAACGCGGGTATGTTTTGGCAGCGGGAGTGCCGACGAAGGGTCCGGTTGTACTCCATGAGTGAACTTGACTCGGTGGTGGGCGAGCGGTCCCGCTACTGAGCGTTTTTCAGATATATTCAATTATTTTGGGCATTTTCCAGCTCCAGCGAATCTTGGGTCAATCTGGGCAAATCTCACCTGCAAATCTGAGCTCTGGCCGAGGGCCTCCGAGAATTCACTGCGAATCTGGTCGCCGGACCACATTTGCCGGACACTAGCCTGTGCCTATAGCTGAGGTCGTTCCGGAACCGTGCTTCTCCAGTGCGCGCCCGAGGCTGCTCGACTTTGCGCTGCGGATACTCGCTCTGCCTTTGTTCGCGCGCGACGACCTTATTCCGGCTCTACGCCTCGTCCTGCTCACCCGCGACCACGTTGTTGCACATGACTTTGCCCGCCGCGTTGGTGTGCCACTGCTCTTCAAAGCTCGCAAGGCATCATCAGGCAGCGCTGACAGTTGTGCGCGAGCACATACGTGGGCCGTAAGCTTGCGCGGTCGCCCGCGATTACCCACCTTGTCGCCGTCCTCCGACTTCTTCAGCTTCTTGGCCCTCCTCACATCGGATTTAGCCTTCGCGCCCCTGACTTTGGCTGTATGGGCTTTAGGTCTTGCAGCCGAAGCCACGTCTGGCGAAACATCACGACCGTCACTCGTGGTCGATGGGCCTCGCGAGTGTGACACCAAACGGGGCGTACTCGCAGCGCAGCCATTTCCCTTCCGCAGTGGCGAGCGAGACGAGATGCATGGTTCACATCCTTCGAAGCGGACAGTGCTCTTGACGGCTGCACCGAACTGCAATCTCGTCAGGAAGATGAACAGCCCAATAAGTTCCAATACCTTCCAGTTGGATTGAGCGTGCACTCGTCAACTTTCATAGGTCACCACTGGTCTAGTCTCCAAAATATTGTCTGAAACATGGATGTGGAAGTGATCAAGTGCGCACAGCGTACGGCACGGCTGTAGATTACATACATATGCTTTACTGCCTCTAAGAGCTGAGGAAACTATATCTCTATAATCTTGCCCCAAAGAAATTGTCAGTTGACCTTCTTCTTTTTGCCTGTGCGCGGGGCCGTGTCAGGATCTGCTGCCTTACGTTTCAGGATCATGCGCTCGCAGGCCAATGGGTTGTATTCCTCGCATGCTGATGTTTCGCCCTTCAGCCCCTTCACCTTCTTAAGTTCCTCCACCCTCTTAAGGACATCCTGGATCTTCCTATCATAAGACTCTGCACTACCTAGAGTACAGGGAACCCACGAAGGGTCACGCCGCCAGAGATCTGGAGTTGCAATGCCATAACCTCATGGAAGGTGAGCTCAAGATTTTGGGGTACATGTTGCTTGATGTCACATACCGCTTTTGATCCCAATATCATCTTGCCAATCCCGGGTGGCCTCCAGCACGTCAGTCCTGAGGGTCAACATGGCTCCATATGTTGTCTCTCGAATCCTATCTGTGTGACCAGTAAGAACTGCACCGGTACTGCATCCTAGGTGATCATGTTGTCGAAGAGCTGCGGTCCGTTGCATCCAACTGCTCTTGATGTGACAGAGTCTTTCGATCCCAATTCCTATGCCGAGGAGCCCCTTGGTCAAGGATATCAGCTCCCGACTGAAGTCCTTGGTCGTGATGTGGCGGTCGACATGTACAAACATCGCGGTGCGATGAAGGTCGTATACCGGGTGTTCGAGTCCAAACAGTATCTGACCAAAGAAAATGGCGAGTGGGCGTGCAAGGAGTTCAACTTGCACTATGACGGATCCCACAAAGGGATTGGTAATGTATGTCCCCTTCCCGCCAAGATCTGTCTGATTCTGGGTCCCTCGGCTGATGCTACGGATCAGGACGGCACCTGAAACCGAATCAATCTGAATACAGCTTTTGGTTGCGGAATCCACCACCCGCATGTCCAAAAGGTGGGTACCACGTAGTGGTGTCACCACTGTATTGACAAAAAGGGAGACTCCTATGAGGGTTCTCAGCCGCGCAAGATGAGTAAACCAGCTCCGGATCTCGTCCTTATCCCAGTTGTTGTCTGTGGCAAAGCGCAGAGCCAGTGCACCGTTGTTCATGATGTGTTGTGCAAGGGCGCATTTGGACCCTTCCCTATCCCGATCATCAGAGTGTACCAGACGATCGTAGCCAGGTGACGGCTGGGATTCGCCGGCATGTCTCCGACTGTCAAGGTCCGTATACGGGGTTCCAAGAAAGACACTGGGAAGGAGGTCTGCAATGGTATCTTGTAGTATGTGCACCAGGCGACACCACTTGATGTGAGGGATGAGGGTGCCTTTGTAGTTGAGGACCTCCCCTTGAACAGCCCAATGGATATCGCGCTCTCGCACAGATCTAAATGACACCCACGCCAGATAGCGAAGCGCGCGCTTGAGCGATCCATACGTCCCGACACCCTCCGCAGACAGCCATGTATCGAATATCCTCAGATGATCGCGAAGTGTCCCTCCTTTATGCTGCTTCCTCCTGTGTGCCTCATATAGCACTGTCAGACGCTGCATGGGCATGAGAAAGACATACTGAATACTGTATCCTGAGTGCTCACCAGCAGAAATAGAGTCTGTACAAACTTCCCCGTTGTGGAGAAAACATGCCCAAACGCGCCCATGTCGTCCTCCAGACATGATATAGCGATGACTTGGATGCTAGGATCCGCCAAAGTGACAAAAGAGCCACCATATCGCCCATCTTCCATCAGAAAGGGCTCCTCTCCGTCAACCGCATCATTGTCATCCTCGCCTGCCACCATGCTATCTTCCCCATCCTCACTGTCACTATCGCCACTGCCTGACCTGCCATGCACCTTCCCCAGCTTCCTACCCTTCCCTTTAATTTGCTTCTGACTCCGTCGCTGACCTGCCAGGATGAGTTCACCAAGTGTGGCTGCCGCTACTTGCACTTCCTCCGGTGCTTCGCCACGAACATTGGCAGCCTGGTCTGCTGGCCCTGAATCATCGAGGGATGACCATGGCTGCGTCCATAGCCTAAGGAAAAACCCGTGGATGACGTTGTGTGCCTTGCGATGGAAGAGTGCATCCCCGCTACTGGCAGAGGAGAGTACAACGAGCTCGTCGAGAATGTCTCTGATGCACTCTGGTAGTTTGAGGTTGTATATCTCCGGCGAGGCATGTGCACGGAGAGAGAACAAGAATATACACCGTCCAATGGTAGTGTAACGGGGTAAGGTTTCAGGCCTCATAAAGAGGCGGAAATATCCTGGTCGGCTCCTGACACCATGAAATCCGTGATTCAACTGCTAATGCATTGAGTAAATACATACCCGGTAAATATCCCCACCAAGAGATTGCGGTCTACGGTATCTGTCGCTTGTACCAGCTCATACGCGACAGTGAAATACTCTAGGAGGGGTGCCAGGAGGTTGTAAAAGGGATCACCAGGTTTGATTGATCTGGCATCGCCAAAGCCGCGAATTTTCTGGATGTCCATATTTCCAGAGAGCAAGCCCCACCACTTCAAGCGGTGAACCCACGCCGAATCGACAAACTGGTTCCCACCATGTCGTACTAGTGTCTGAAGCCTTGGCGCAGGGAGGGACAGTCCCTTATTGAGCATGTGCTGGCGCCTGATGCGTTCCGGTTCCGTCTCAGTCCTATGCTCTGACTCTTGGACCGGTTCCGGCCTGGCGCTGGAGACCTGGAACCGAACAATGGGTGAAGCGTCTTTGTCGAAGGTTTGAGTGGGGACCAGATGATTTTCCCCCCGACGGATGTATGCTTTCACAAGCGTAGAAGCATCCTGAGGGTGCTTTTTTCAACAGTGTGAGGTATACGTCTTTATGGACCAGTCCCCAGCGTAGAAGCATGTCGGTTCGACACACGGCACCCCCATTTCATAGTGAAGTCCGGGGCGATAAGGTTGTAGAACTTGGCAGGGATCAGGATAACCGGACATTGGGTCCACACCCACGTCCTTCACCAGGTTTTTGCAGGTGATCTGGCTACGCCAGGCCTTGTTGGAGCCAGGGTTACCAGGTGGCGGTGTATGCAGTGTCTTGAGATGCTTTGACAAGATCTGAGTCTTAGACTGGCTACCTTTCTCCTTCTTGACAACCAGAACAACACAGTGTTTAACACACAGAAGGAGGGGCGGTCGAAAGCTTTTATCAGCAACTATAGTGAAGTTGTCTAATGCCGTACTCCTATTATATTGAGCCTGTCATGATAGTAAGCATTGGTTTGTACAACCACTAAACATCCACGTGCCGAGCTGAAGCATGTTGCCAATTTGGAAGACATATCTCCGATATCCGAGTCACTGATAGGGGCCTAATGTGCATACAGAACATCAGAAGATACACATAATGGTCAATAAGCGTACTCACAATGACCGCACTCTCGGCGCCAGCCATCTGGTCATGATCTGACCTCTCGTCACTGCCGCCCTAATGACCATGCATTGAATATAGCTGGAATGCATATAACATAGTAAATCACATACTCCACGCCGACTAGGCCCCTCCATCAAATCGTTACTGGGTCCGGCGGTACTTCCATGCCAGTGTCTGTATTGACGAAGATCTAGGCCGTTTTTCTGAGAAGCTCAGCTCGTTCTGCGATGTGTGGCACTTGTTGTGGGCTCACCATTCTCCAGTCCCAGGCTTCTTGAGGGGAGGGGAATGCCGGTGAATCAGACCCAAAGACGTTACTCCATCCCTTTTTCTGATAAGATGTCAGCCAGACGGAAATAACGACGGGAGGCTTGTCTCACTCGGTAGCACCGCAAGCCCACCCTCACGCAGTTGTCGGCGTATTCCCGACTATCTTCCTGACGCGAGTATGTTCTTATACACGCTTGGGGGGGGGGGCTGCTGGTAGCAGAGCGACCGTGCGGGTGACACAAGGTCACAAAGTGTAGACGGTTGCCACTCCAGGTGATGGCAAGCATGCCATAGCGATCCAAGTACAGTTGGCTTGGGCATTCGTGGGGGTGGTTTTCCTGATCCCTTGGACTCTCGAAGTTGACCAGGCAGTCCTTGCAGCATCCATGGCCATGTTGTACCTTTGCAGTACGAATGAGAAAGGACATATCATGTGAATCATGTTCGAAGATGCTATATAAATTGTATATCAGCTGAAAGAGTACAATTAGGCGATTCCAGCGCTATACTTTATACAGTATAGTGTGGGGAGAGTGGGGAGGGGCAGGCCGTGCATTGAAGACAGCTCACCTGAGCTGAGGCCTATCCAAGTGAGCTCTCAAGCAGCTCAAGCCTGCTGCCTGCCCAGCTATCTACCCATTCCCCCCTC